AATCTGGAATGACCCAGTTGTATTCACTAAAATCAGGAAGCATCTCCTTCCACTCTTCATAGGTCTAAAGATAGAAAAATATATATTTTATTCCTGATTCGTTTGCCAATAGGCATCAGTCTACTGTTCCATCTACATTAAGCTACATAAAAACCACTGAAGCAAAAAAATTTGACAATGATCTGAATGATAACAGCTCCCTCTGACCTTCTTAGCTGTGTAGCCCCCTCCCACTGCTGTTCCCAGCAGGATGTATCTGAGCCTCAGCAGCCGGGCTGCCAGACTGGCCACCCAGAAGTTGCGTTGCTGTTGGTACCTATGACCTCCAGACCTGGGAGGGGGTTTCAGCGGCCGCATCGGCAACCGAGACATGGAGGTAAAATATCGAGCTGCTGTGCGATGAGGAGTCCGGTGGGGGTTATTGTTTCCAGAGTAACGGTGGTGGATGGCACGAGACAGAGGATGGAGCTTCTGCAGCGGGACCCGGAACCTCACCCCCATATTGGTTGAGACAAGGTTCCTACAGGCCACACTGAAATAAAACAGGACACTACATTTAAGCACTGTTTGTTGGCATTAATTATAAAATGTTAATTACATCTGATTAAGTTCCTTAATGAAATATAGAAGAGTGGTGTATTCACAGCCACACTGAACAAGTTGTGTTCTATATTTTCATAAGTTTGCATTACAAAGAAACTTATCAGCCAAGTAGATAATAATTAGAACAATAGGATAAACTGTAAGGTGCCGCAACTTATAGGCCTGCTACTATCAAGAGCGGCATGCTGCAAGGTTGTTTCCTCTGGTCATGTTCTGACCGAAGTGAGAAGCAGACATACAAGATTTTGAAATAAAACACGACTTTAAAGCTTTGCCATTTTTATAATATGTATTTGCTATTTTAAAATGGCCCTCTATTTCAGTAAAGTACAGAGATATATAAGTTATAACTAAAGTGATACTCACTAAAATGAGAAAAGATGAGAAACTCAGAGAAACAAAAAACACTGGAAAGTAAAATTAACCAATGTGGTGCAGGTTTTTTAATGTAAATACTGCAGTGCCTTCTATAAAATCCTTAAGGCCATAATATCTGGTCATCATTTATATGGTTTAGCGTTGGCGTTTTCTCTCTGCAAGTAATTTTTTATATAGTTTTAATCAAAGCATACTTATTTTTATAGTTACTTCGCATTGACAGCAGTTTTTTGTACAGCATATATTCTTGAAATTTATCTCAAAATCAGTTTGTTCCAGCCAGGAAATCTGGAGGTGTTTGCGCTCCGTCCAACGCGGATCATTCCACTGGCTGATCTCTAGAAAAACACTTTTCCAAGCTTTTATTGTGGGCTGTATGTTCAACATCTACAAATGGTAGTGCAATGTACACTACCCAAAATTAATTAAAATCTTTTTTTTTTCTGTCCACAAATTGTTGAAAAAAAGAATAAATAGGGTTAATGTGAACATTTTGGACAAACAATACCATTATTGATTTAACTGAAGACAAGGGGTTCTCACTAAATCCCTGTATTCCAAATGACAATTGATTTCACACCTTTCTAAATGGTCAGCATAAAGCCAAATTTTTATTTTTGTAAAAGTACTAGAGCAAATGCCTCTTAAATTTATAGTTTACTTATGTCAAAAAATAAAAATCAACACCAAATTTCTCTCAGATACCTCCTCCTAACGGTGTACATAAAATAATCCACATTAATAAATGTCAACTTTTGGCTAAAAAGAGACTATTGTTTTTTTTTTTATAGCATTTTATTAGAGAACTAACCTTCTAGATTTTATTTCCCATACCTGTGATCTTAGTTGCATATCTGCTTAGAGGAATAATATTATATCCTAAAATAAAGACCCCAAATACCATAAAAAAGGTTCATTTTGAAGGCCCTCAATAAAAGATTCTCACAATATAAATATAAAAAACCATGGTTAATAAATGTTGAACGCTGTTCTACATTAATAAATGCCAAATACTTAGCTAGATGAAGAATAACAACGTGTAGACTCATGTTATACTGGGGTGTTTGAAAATTTGTCAATTTGGTTTAGAGCAACATTAGATAATTTGGACCAGATTAATTAGAAATACAATCACCAACCACTCGGGTTAGCTGCTTACAGTAAAAAACCGGACAAATTGAGGACAACTTGAGGGGAATAGCGTTCAAAGCATATCTAGAATTGTTTTAATTTATGCAAGGATAAAATCCATCAGCCAGTATCGAAGCAGTTAGCTATACTGCCATCCCCGCTGCTAGCTTGTGCTCTCGTTACCTTCAGTTAAACTGGACTTACCAGGCAGCTGAGCTCCCGACACGCAACATGGCGCCGATAACAGCAGGTGAACAAAGCTCTCTGTCAGATTTTATCTCCTGGTACAGTTTAATTCATCTTTCCAAACAGGACACATTTGCTCCTGTTATTGCAACTCACTAGCTGGCTAGCTAACAAGGACACAAGCAGAGTGACAGTTCCACTTCCTGTGAAAGGTACTACTTCAAAATCTGCACTGACAGAAAACACCACATACATTTAGTTCCGGTGTGGTGTTAAATAGTATTGTAACCTAATTTTAATAAATTTCCCTCATATTTGCCTTTACATTTTATATTATTAGGAGGATGAGGTATAATTAAGCATGATTAAGGTTTGGTTAAAACTCTATACTATAAGTCAAGAGCTCTGATGCAAATACCAGCTGTCTGGATACCAGAGGTTTAGGTTGCAGTGAGGTTAAATGTTAAACATTTAAATGTTAAAACCGATAAGAGCTCATTTGAGTAAAGAGGAGCAGTTCATGGCCATTAAGGTCAAAGCTAATGACTAACAGGGACTCAGATCTGTTAGTAAAATATGTCTAGTTAGTTGCATCACCTTATTAAAGTTGCCACTAGAGTATTACAAAAACCAAAAAGCTAGTCAGAATGTCTAAGTATTTAAACCTTATTTTTACCGAATTGTAATAAGCACGAATATTTTCAGTATTTTCATCCAAATTGTTCTTGGATTTGCTAAAAGAAAGGGCAAATCATTACATAAACTGCTTTAAAAAGGAACACTCAACACATCCTAGATCTGAATTAATGAAATATTCTCATAAAAACACTTTGTTCTGTACAAGGCTAAATGTGTTGACAATAAACTCATACAAAAAATCCTCAATGGAAATCCAATTCACTAACCTGAAGGCCTGGATTTGGAGTCACACATAATATTAAAGTGGAAAATCACACCAGAGGTGTAATGTCCTCAGTAGTGTGTTTGGCCTCCACGTGCACGTATGACCTCCCTACAACAACTGGGAATATGCTGATGAGGTGGTAGATGATCTGTTGAGAAATCTCTTCACAGACCTGGACTAAAGCATCAGCCGACTCCTGGACAGTCTGTGGCGTAACGTGACGTTGGTGGATGGATCAAGGCATGATGTCCCAGATGTGCTCAATCCGATTCAGGTCTGGGGAATTGGTGGGCCAGTAGTCCATAGCTTCAATGCCTTCATCTTGCAGGAACTGCTAACACACTCCAGCAACATGAGGTCCACCATTGTCCTGCATTAAGAGGAACCCAGGGTGACAGCACCAGCATATGGTCTCACAAGGGATCCGAGGATCTCCTCGGTACCTTATTGCAGTCATGCTACCTCTGGCAAGCACATGGAGGGCTGTGCAGCCCTCCAAAGAACTGCCACCCCACACTAATTGTAATCTACTGCCAAAGCTATCATTCTGAAGTATGTTGCAGGCAGCAGATTGCTCTCCACTGTCTCCAGATTTTGTCCAACGTGCTAAGTGTGAACCTGCTTTCATCTGTGAAGAGCAAAGGGCGTCTGTTTCTAAGCTTTTGTACTGACAAACATTTGTGGCCTGCTGAAGGTCATTTGGCATGCTCCTCCTGTTCCTCCATGCACAAAGGCAGAGGTAACAGTCCTGCTGCTGGGTTGTTGCTCTCCTACAGCCTCCTCCACATCTCCTGGTAGCGCCTCCAGTCTCTGGACACTATGCTGACAGACACAGCAAACCTTTCCACAGCTAGCGTTGATGTGGCATCCTGGATGAGCTGCACTACTCGGGCCACTTGTATGGATTGTGGAGTCCGTCTCATGCTGCACGAGTTTGAAAGCACCACCAAAATTCAAGTGACATCAGCCAGAAAGCATTAGTACTGAGAAGTGGTCTGTTTTCCCCACATGCAGAACCACTCATTTTTTTTAAAGGGAGCTTGCTAAATGCCAATCATTTCTACCTGTTATCTATTCCATTTGCACAACGGCATGTGGAATTAATTGTAAATAAGCGTTACATTTCACTGGAGTTTGATTCAATTTAAGTCATGTTGTTTACATATTCCCTTTATTTTCTGAGCAGTGTAAGTTGACTCATGATTGCAAACCAACCCAAAATTTCCTACCAAGAAATTGGTTCTAATAGTTGGCTGTAGTGGAGGGCAATATGGATTAAACATGTTATTCTCCTATTCTTTTTAATGTAATAAAAGTAAAATCCAAATAACCATTTGCAACTTTTTATTGTTCTAAAATTGCAAAAAAGATTTTTTTTAATGTAGCTTATTGGATAAATGTATGGCTGCATATTGCTTAAATAGTCCCACAAACATGAATATGGACATATTTTACAGCATATTAAATGAATAGGGTAATAAATGATTGGATCTAAATACGGTACTACTTTAATTCATGTTACATCGTCTCCTTGTTACCATCCTTACAAAACAAATGAAATCTCATGTAATTTAAGTATAGATATGTAGTCAATGAAGATTTCATTTATATTTTCTATAACAGCTTCTTTCAAGCCAATCTAGGTTTAGGAAATGTTTCAAAAATTTATTTCTGCTGATCCATCTAGCCAATATAGCCTTTAAAACATCACATTTATAATAAACGCAGGAGGTAAAAAAGCTTGGAGAAGGCAGGTTTAAAAAAATTTATTGAAAAGAAAATCAAAATAAAGCTCTAAAACAATCTTCAGAAAAAAAAATCTAAATAAATACAAATAAATTATAAAATACAAAAATTGTCCAAATATTATACATCTCTGCCAATAGAAAAATACATATAACCCAGATGATCCTCTTGATGAGGTAAGAAAGCGGAAAATTATAAGCACAGTAAAGAAACAAAGCCAAACGATACATACTAAGATCATAACAATGAAATGTAATCAACATAATTTTTTGTGGGTTAGGCCCATTTTTTTATTTTTTAAACACAGTTCATTCATCCACTGCCGGACCCAATGTAATTGCCATAAGGAAACAAGTTTTAACATTATTTCACACGATTCCAGTCCTGATATGAATCTTTAGAGGCCATCTTGTGTCCCTGTTGAAAGTTTGGAGGATTAAAAAGAAAACAAAAACTGCAGTCAAAGAAAAAAGCAGCCTTACCACTTTAGACATTTATTTTTCTTGGGGGAAAAAAAGGTGCAGTTATAGGACACATGAATAATTTTGCTCCTAGCAGCAGTATGACAACTTTATAGTAATAAGATTATACTAAACAGTAATGCACATTTTTTTTTACCAGCTACATTTTGCATGGATGGAAAATATTTTCTTTTCTTTTAAAAACAATTAAAGCAAAATGAAAAGATGCACCTCAATTGATCAGACAAACAATGTGATGTTGGCTGTGTTCAACATTGAATTCCCTTCTTCTCAAATTATTTTATTAGTTAGAAAACTTTAAGCGACAAACAAAATTATTGAAACATTTTGAGCCTGCGGGAGCAAAGCATTCAGGGTATAGCGACGTAATCTCGAACCATAAACAAACATTGGCTGTCATTTTTATTTATCCAAGTGTTCTCAGCAGACTGAAGCAAATGCCCAGGATTGATGTTCAATTGCAGAACCAAGACTGTACAGGTAGATTACACAAATAAAAGCACAAACCAGCTGGGAAAAATAAAAAACTAAAAAAATTAAGAACTGATTGTGACAGTACCAAGTAAAAAAAAAAAACAAAAACAAAAAAAATTATAAGCAAAAAAGAAAATACACCAGCCCTTTTATAATTTTATCTATCCATATACTCTCTATAATCAAATCTTTAAAGTCTTCTGCAGACACGAGAAATGTACACTCAATATTTACAGACAAAGCTAAACAGCTATTTTTAACCACCTAATGTCTACTTGATGTGTTCCATCAAACCTCACTCGACACATCTGACCACTGGCTAAAAACGTTTCTCCTCTCTTTCTCTCCATTTTTTTTATTATTCAAACAACCAGTACAAATAGGAAGAAATTTCTTTGGAAAGTAAAATCAGTATTTGTGGTTTTGCATTGCATTACATGTTGTTCTCAACTACATTCAGTCTTAGAAAAATAATGAATTCTCAAAACCCTGACAATTCTTTTAGAAATGCTAGCGGCCAAAATTTGGTCACATCATATAATCCGTATAAATAAACTAAATAAAGTTGTGGGTGAGTCATCTGCTTATTTGGACATGTCAAAGTGGGATTTAATCCATTTTCATTTCAAATATATAATCCAATCAGAAATCGGTCACAGTTCAGCTCCTCTATTAGTTTACTTATTTCACACTAATTAAAGAGCGCGGAACCCAAAATATAGCCCTTAACTCTACACAGGTAGGATATATATATATATAAAGAATATGAATACAGTCAACAAATTAAAGCTCCATCATTTATAAATATTTGCTGGGGGAAAAAAAAAAAAGTAAGTAAAATCCAGGAGCAGCCCACAGATGAGATGCACATTTCTTAACCTTTAATAGTTTTAACTGTAATCAATCTTCCACAGGAAGAAATTTGCCCCAAAAAGCCTAACATTTGATTTCAGGAAAGTGTCTGAAGACGCAGGGAGCCTCCAGCCTCATGCACATGGTTATCAGTTTACAGTAACCAACCAGACACATGCTGCTTCTGGAACGGTTCGATCAACCATTTCTCCAATATATAATGTAAAAATGCTGAAGGTTTCCTATTTCCTACAGTAATGCCACATGCTTGAAGTTAAATGTTTAACCTTCAGGTGAGCTCTTAATATACTAGCGGAGATTTTCCTGATGGAGCGTTGAACCAACCATGCTTCCATTGGGTTTAGTTTTATGATCAGACCTTTTTATAGCATTAAATCTGTTAGAAGGGACATACAGGTTAATGCCAGCTCTTTTATAATTAGTAAACATTCAGCAAAAACCAAAAGCAAAATGCTGGCTATAAGGAAACTACAAGTTGCCATTTAATTTTTTTTTCCCTGTTGCAAAACAACAAAGACATAGGGTCAGAGATCAGGTGAATAATCATCTTTTTTTGTTTCGAGGTTTTAATTACTCAAAGAAAAAAAAAAAAAAAAAAAAAAAACTTCGATAAAACATTGCCAGAGTGAATATCATGCCACAAGACTGAGCCGGAATCAAACTGTGCCATACAGTACTGTTGTAGAGGAATAGAAGTAAAATGCCACAGAGTCAATCCTCTTCCACTTCTGTAACTGTTAAAAGATGCTTAGATTAGAGAAAAATGCCCATTGCTTAAACCAATTTAAAAAATCTATTCCATGCTCTTCTGGGGGTTAAAATGACATTTTGCTGCAAACACACAAGGCGGATAAAAACAAGTATAGAGTCTATAAATTAGCTTCATTGGCTAAAATGCTTCCCACAAAGAGTCATGCAGTTTTAAAACCCTTTACCTTTTCAAATCTATACACTGTGCCTTTATAAAGAGAGAAATATCTAGTTTTGAATTTATCCCCACATGTGGATCTGAGCTGAGCAGATTCAAGAACATAAAACACCAAACATTGGTCTACAGCAGCCTCTTAATATCCAGTATCTAATGCGTTAATTAGCATGTAATTATGAATATATTAATCCCAGATGTTGGCAGGTGACCATAACTAACCAATTTAAAGAACAGTTTCACTGGTCATCTGGTCTAAACCTCGTTAATAGGATCTTCTGAAAGCACCACACTTTAAAGCCAACAGGGGGCAATCTAACAACACCCTCTGTAGTGGAAGTTGTAGCCGTGAAAAAAGCTGGTAAAAAGTTGATGTCTGTTGCAACACAACTTCCCAACAACACATCCTCTGCAGTGGAAAAGTCTCATTTGCCCGTAAGTAGCGCCACATTCATAGGAAAACACATTTTAAGGCTTTATCAACAGAGTAATGCTGTGTTCACATCGAAGGTGTGGGCGTCAAAAACAGAAGCAGAAATCTGGACACTGGATCAGATGCTAGATGAAATTGTGGAAAAGTTGCTTTGACGCTCTGGTTGTTCATCTGTTCTGTTCTGTAGCTTCAAGTTAGAGAGCAGCTTGGCTTTATTTACTTGATAAGTTGGAAAAATTGTTTTAACATGTTTTTAAAATGAGAAAGTCCACCTCCAAACATCATCTGTGCAGTCAGTTCATCAGGATTATGATCCCACTAAAATATGCAGTTCATATTCCGAGTGCCAGACCTCCAGCATACCACCAGGGGGCAGCCCTGGGAGTTCATAGCTGCTGCAAGTGAATATAAATAGTTTATGGTAAAAACTGCCAAGTACCAAAATATACAATCGAATATTTTTTGTAAGCAGGTTTTAAATTTCTAGTTAATTTCAGTATTTATACACTTTTTCACCATAGTTCATGAAAAATGTTTTAGTGCAGCAATAATGATCAGAGTTCCATCTGTTTCTTCAACATAATAATCCAACACCTTTGCAGATTAAGACCCTTGCTATTTATTTATTTTTCATATACAGAATGTCTGCATAAGCAATAACAGTTTGCTGGTAATGTCTATCTCCCCTAAAAAACTCCTGGACTGGCTTTTCTGATTGGTTGACGCTTCGACTCTGGAGTTCAGTAAATAGAACTGTTGCCCCTGAACGAACGCTCAGACGCAAGAATGCTCAGACGCCAGAATGGTCGAAATTTGCTCAAATGCGCCGCTGGACCTCCTCGATGCTGTCCCCATAGACTTTGCATGTAAACCAGCCGCTTTGACGCTCAGAACACCTTTGGTGTGAACGCAGCATGAGTTGCTTGAGCCCATAAATAACTTCCAAAAATCCTTTCCTCCAATACCAAACTTCTCATTTGGTGGCATCGATGAATTTATGAAATTAAAAGTTTTAAGAAAATACAGATTTTTAAATTCATCAATTAACCCACTACTGAGGGGCCAGAAAAATCCCAATAGAAGCTGATTGGATTTTGAGGATGTTATTTTAACACTTTCCTTATGTGTTTAACAGACACTTAACTCTGCTGTGCAGCACACAAATGAATCATCTTTTTAGGTGTGGCACTATTTAGGGAGATATAAATGAGTTTTCCCAACAGTATTAGACAAACTTCCAAGAAGCACTGTTAAAATATTCAGACAAACAATTTTTCTTTATTTTTTAGTTAAGCTGATATAGTTATAATAGTTTATGGTTGCTACACAGTAGTAATCAGAGCCTGTATTGATACATCCTCTAAGAAGAGAATGGGCATTTCAAATTAAATCTATCAGTATTTTTATCCATTAAACTTAAAGTGCATTCACTTTCTTCTCTCCTTTGAAATGCCTCCGTTTTGTTGCATCCAAAACATTTTTGAATGGGTAAATCTTAAAGTCTTTCTCACTGGGTGAAATTTCCTCAAACCTTTGATGCACGACTACATAGAGTGATTGTTGTTTGTTTTTTCTGCAGTATTCCTTAATTGTGTATTGATTTTTGAGGAAATGTAATAAAATCCGACAACAATCTAATGACATGATCTAGATTTATGACTGAACACACATCTGTAAAGTGACCTCTATATGGTTTCCATCCCAGATAAAAAGTGAGGAAGCTAGACCTCCACCAGAAGGGGTCAATACACAACTTTTAGGCTGATTACAGGCCTCTGTTGAATGCTACTCTGATAGGCTGGACAGACAACATAAAGAAAGGCCTTTGAGTTTAACAGCAGTGATGTTTTTCCCCCAAAAAATGATACCGAGTGTGTCTGCGTGGATTGTGACGTGAAATGCAGTAGTTTGAAAGCTATGAATGTACTTCTTTTTCTATTTGTGTTAAATGATATAGTTTTTGTTCCATGAAGAGTAAAGGCAATCAAGATAAGGTGAATGTGCGTTTCCCTTAGTGCTCCTCATATGCAGGTGTCCTGTGTGAGAGACGAGGTTCCCACAGAGTTGTGGGGGCGTGAAGATGCTAGGAGCTGATTATGATTTGATAGGCAGAGCCATTTTCAGGGCGGGGCTTGGCTTCAGTAGTGGTGGTTGGTTTTGGGGGCCAGTCCGGGTCCACGCTTAGTTCCTGGGCGAGATGCATGTATCGAGCTTTAGGTGTGGTCTTGCGTGGGCACAGCCAGGATAGACACCTGTACGCCTGCAGGTCAATCATCCCCTAAAAAAATCCCCAGGTTGTGAAATTAAACAGATTTTAAAAATCACATTAAAAGAAGAAAAGAGAAAGAAGAGGCTTTTGATCTATGTTCAGCTTACTTCAAATCTGTGGCTCACGTATTTGTTTCCAGGCTACATTAACTGCATGCAAAAATTTAGACTCAAGGACTCAGTTCTGTGATAACAGGTAAAATCCATACATGCATGTTGCTTTAACTAAAATTCAGCATGAAATTGATCTGAAGGAATTGGTTATCAACAGTTAAAACAAAGCTGAGCTAACTTCTTTAAAACAAGCTCATGGAAAACTTAACACAGATCTTTAAAGATGGCCAAACAGACACACTTTAAAGATTAGAATAAGGAGTCAAAGACAAAACAAAGAAAAAAGAACAGTCAGGCTGCTATTTTTCTTCCCTCCAAATTGTAACATACCTGAGGACATATATGAACAGCGGTGACTGACATGCTCGACTGGACTCTAACAGGGAAACTAGGCTAAGCACAGCAAACAAGCTTTAGATATTAAAGCAAAAGCTGGCAAGCAGCATAGCAAGAGGGGAAACGGTAGCAAGTACAGGAAGATATTAAAGCTGCAATGAATTGAAAAACAATTCTATAAAAATGTTGGAAGATGCCTATTTTGGATAGTAATTAACACACAATAAGCTAAAAAACTTTAAAAGGAGAACTGTTGCGCATACGTTTCATTTTGAGTATTAATTTGTAAGCAGTATAAAATTCCCTACTTATTACCTCGCTTTTAAATGTTTCTGCTACTACTGAGCTGTTCAGTAACAGCATTATATTTAAAGCTAATGCTAACCGATCTAACTGTTGGTATTAGCTCGAGTTTGTGACATTTAAACCTAGAAACCGATAGAATCAGCAGGTCAGAACTTTACTGATAAGCGTCCTGAAATCAGCCACATGCAGTAATTAGTTGGAGCGTTTTCACACGTGATCCAACAAATCAAAACCTTCTGAGACTCTAAAGGAAATCCCTTTTAGTTCTTGTTAAATCTGACCTCTTATGCTGTATATTTTGCAACATTTCACAAATTGTTCACCGTTTTTGTTATGATATACAGTTTTTTTTTTTTTCTGACACATTATTTTGTTTTAATTTAACATAATGTCCAAATCTATTATAAAAAAAATTATTTTTTCTACTAGGAAACCAGAAAAATCAGCCAAATGTGTTCTCCATTGTGTATATCAATATAGTAATTTCTAAGTTGGTTTATAGACTGACCAGCTAGGTGGAATAATACAGTTATGACGGTGTGTTGTGATGCAATAAATGTCACCACCTTCAGGGTAACATTCACAATAAAAAAATAAAAAAAAACTTCTTTATACTAAAAAAACACGCTATTTAAACTGCTACACTCTGGTAGCTTCTATAGAAGCTGGCAGAACTTGAGTAATATTTGCATTAATTGTCCATTTGGAGGTAATGAGGTTGGGGGTTGCTTTCATGCATGTCTTAGTGTGCTTTGTGACACAGAAAGAGGAAGTCAGGACAGAGAGAGGAAACACCACACATGAAGAGGAACAAGCTAGAGAAGGTGTCAGATTTTCCCAACCTGTGGTGTCGGGGCGGCAGGGGTGACGCCATAGTTGGCCTGTTTGTCTCTGCTGAACGCAAGCTTCCATAAGACGATGTCAAGGATGAAGGTCTAAGGAATAACAGTGCATTGGGCAGGGAAAGAATTAAAGAGGCGAATTTACCGTCCCATAGCTCGTGCTTTTATCATTTTAGGAACAACGGCCTTCAGCTGATCTTGCAGCAGAGCATTAGGAGATCAGTTTTTACTTTGCCAAGGCTGTGAAACAATTACATTTGGTATAAAAAAATAAAGGAAGAATTTACAGAGATTAATCAGTGTCAGAAAAACTGAAAAATTCTGATTATGCAGAATCAGTTAGGCTGAATTAGTTCATTCGCTTCAGAGATCAGTAGATTTTGCACTTGTAGCTCAGAGGAAGGCACATCTAGGATCTTTGTAAGCAGTGCTTGTTTGTAAGTGCAGCCATCTAAGAGGAAGGAGAGAAACTGGGATGCTGCTCAGGGCAGGTCAGCATAAACTATTGATCAATTCCATTTTTAAAAAACTTCTACCTATGATTAAAACAAACATGATACTAAATGTAGATTAAGTACTGGGGGAAATAAATTAAATAACTTCATCAAAGAAGAGAAAAAGGCTTCATTTATAAAACATATCTCAACAAAAGGTTGGGCCAGCTGTAAGGTTGTATAAGACAAAGATGAGCACATTGCATGAAAAAACAAAACTGAACATGACAAAAAATAAAAACATCTTAAATTACAGCGTGCGTCTGTGTGTGTTTGCCTTACCTCCACCAAAACAGACACAGCAGCATTGGCTAAGATTATAAGGAAAAGCTTAAGCCGCCATTCAAAAGGGACACAGACGATCTGCAAGGACCAGAAAAAAAATGAATAAATTTGCTGTTACCAAAATACTACAACTGGGACATCCTCACCAGAATCAGTCAATTGAAAAAAAAAAAAAAAAAGAGTCCATATTTATATGTTGAGTAAAATATGTTGGCACCCCTGTAAGAGAGGATTGTAAATAAACAAACACTTTATTACAGTAGAATATTATCGTACTAAAACTGTAAAATAAAAAAAATTTAAAAACAGTGTTATTGTGATTGCATACCGTCTGTGTGTTACATCTGACTATGTTTGTAAATTCATACAGACTTTGCAAATATTTAATTTATGTTATGGAGTTTCTAGAAATTAAAATTTCAATTTCTTTCTGAGGTTGTACCGATCTTGTGACAGAGTCACATTTCTTCCAACCATAAAGTATACAGTGAGAAAAATAAGTATTTGAAAACCCTGCTATTTAGCCAGTTATCCCAATTAGAAATCATAGAGGGGTCTGAAATTGTCATTGTAGGTGCATAACCACTGTGAGACACATAATCTAAAAAATAAAAATCCAGAAATGACAATATATAATTATATAAAATATTTGGCACAGTAGCCTTTGTTTGCAATTACAGAAGTCAAACATTTCCTGTAGTTTTTCTCCAGGTTTGTACACACAGTAGGAGGGATTTTGGCCCATTCCTCTACACAGATCTTCTCTAGATCAGTCAGGTTTCTGGACTGTCGCTGAGAAACACAGTTTGAGTAAAGCATGATGCTACCACCTCCATGCTTCACAATAGGGATGGTGTTCTTAGGATGGTACTCATCATTCTTCTTCCTCCAAACACTGTTAGTGGAATTATGACCAAAAAGTTCTATTTTGGTCTCATCTGACCACATGACTTTCTCCCATAACTCCTCTGGATTATCCAAATGGTCATTGGCAAACTTAAGACAGACCTTGACATGTGCTGGTTTAAGCAGGAGAACCTTCTATGCTTTGCATGAGTTCCAACAATGATGTCTTAACGTATTACCAACAGTAACCTTGGAAACTGTGATCCCAGCTCTTTCTAGGTCATTAACCAGCTCCACCCATGTAGTTCTGGGCTAAAATCTCACCTTTCTTATGATCATTGAGACCCCATGAGCTGAGATCTTGCATGGAGCCCCATTTTCTAAAGATTGCTCCAATAGTGGACCTTTTTTTCACCAAGCTGCTTGGAAATTTCCGCGTAGCCCTTTCCAGCTTTGTGGAGGTGTATTATTTTATCTCTAGCGTCTTTGGACAGCACTTTGGTCTTGGCCATGTTAGCAGTTGGATTTTTACTGATTGTATGGGTGGACAGGTGTCTTTATGCAGCTAACGACCTCAAACAGGTGCATCTAATTTAGGATAATTCATGGAGTGATGATGGACATTTTGAAGGCAGACTAACAGGTCTTTGAGGGTCAGAAATCTAGCTAATAGACGGGTTCAAATACTTATTTGCAGCTGTTTCATACAAATATATAGTTAAAGATCACATTTTGATTTCTGGTTTATTTTCTTTAGATGATGTCTCTCACAGTGGACATGCACCTACAATGACAATTTCAGACCCCATCATGATTTTTAAGTGGGAGGACTTGCAAAATAGCAGGGTGCTCAAATACTTATTTTCCTTACTGTATATACATATACGTGTGTTAATCATGAGTTTATTTCCTGCCTTGGCATATTCCCCATGTAGGTGAGCCAGAGCAGGGATCGCTTGTAGGCTCCAAGGGTTCATACCTGTCAAAACTGTGCCTATTAGAAAGAGAAAAGTTGTGCTCCATTTAAATTGGATCAAAAAGCACTGGTGTGAAAACATCCCAAAAACAGTCTTTTCAGGCCTTGCTCACTAGAGTATCTGTGATGCTCTGGGCCTGTTTTTTCCCCCTTGAAACCCCACGGACACCGTTTTAGTCATGAACCGCTTTTAAAACCAAAACTGAATCTGATGGGTTCATTCAGAACACTAAAATGAATCAATGCTGGGTCTGTCGCAGGATAATGGATGATAATAAAAGGCTAAAATAAAAGCCTACAAACTATAGAAGAAAATATATATAAATCTTCGATTTGTTTTGGCCAATTGATTACATGAACATATATCCTACAGAAAACCTGTGCCTGGAACTAAAAATAAGGAAGCATATGCATAAAAGCAACCTTGTTTAAAGCTATTATATCTTAACACTGTTTTTTCAAATTAAATGTTGGGTTTTTATACAGTTTTAGAATCAGAATACATTATTAACTTTTTCTAAGACAACTTTATCAGGGTTTCAAAAAAAAAAAAAAATTCAGTATTTGCAAAATATATAAAGGGAATGTAAAAATGTATAAGAGCTGAGTAATAACATCTGTACTTACCTCTAGGAAGCCATCGATGCTTTCCACAGGATAAAACATGATGAACAGCAGGAAAAAATACAGACTCACAGCAGACAGTACAAAAGGCCCTGTTGAAAAGACCATAACATTATATGATATATAATGCTAAATATGAGAGCATAGTGCATAGGAGGACAGAGAAGATGGCATCTCACAGTTCTTGTAGCTAGGTTGCCTGAAAGGTTTGCCTTTGGAGAAAACAATGGCAACAATGAGATACTGGAAGCAGGAGACATAGAAGAGACTGGTGTTCTCAAAGTTTTGGATGTTGTGTTCGTCTTTTTCTGTGCTGTTGTGCTCAGACGCATTCAAGTGGTCCGATCGGTTGCAGACGCTGAGTGCGGACAAAAAAATGTTGAACAGCGAAGTTTAAAAACCATAATGTGGCGTTTTTCCCTGATCAGACGCTCTAAATCAGACACTTACTCTGTAGCAGGTTGCCACACCTCGTACCAGGGCTGCTTTTGGACCCAAAGAAAAGTAATTATCTGGAAGCCCAAGCAAATGAGGATCTGAGTCAGCACAGAGAACAGCAGAGGCCCTGAGATAAGTCCTGATGGGGGGCGACGTGACACCAATTCTTTCCAGGCTGGGTTCAGACTCACTGAGGAGAAAAATTATGGTGGATATTGAGATCAAATAAATATTTAAAAAGGATAACGTTTGCAATTTGAGTTTTACTCCTTCTATACTTACTGGTAAAGACGATGAGGAGGATGATGGCAATGTCAATGAAGAGAAACTGGAAATCTCCAAGGTTACTGAGGACCTAAGAGCAAAGCCAACCCCTCATATTAGTAAACAGGATGGATTTTCCCTGCTTTCATCGCTGCTAATAGTTGACATACCGAATAGAGGAGAGTGACGCTGATGTACTGGATGATGCTGTAGAGAGCCATAAACTTGAACACACAGAAAGAGGTGATGAGAGCAGCGCGTCCCTCCCTGTGAAGGCAAGCAGACAACGTCCATCAATTCAATCATAAAAAGGATAAAAAGAGGCAAATTGTTCCCCGAGAATTCCTTTGTTTTTTCGTTTACTACCCATAATTTATAAGAAAATAATCCCATGGAGAACTGTGTATGCAGCAGCAGTCTGCACAGCAGACGATCTGGTCACACTGCCTGTATTGCAATTATATAACTATTCAGGGTTTCATTTCAACTCCCTAACTAAAGGAAAATATGGGAAATGCACCTTTAGCTCTTAGTGGTACCAGGGAACCTGGTAATTTAAGACTGCAGGTCCATAGGCCAAAAAAAAAAAAAAGTATGGATATTTTGATGGCAAAAAATGAATGTCAATGTAATAACAAGAAAGGCTAACCTGCCAGAATATATTAAGAAAAATAACACAAGTGCTTCTATAAGAAATTCATGAAAAAACACAATGGGAGTGAAAGAAACACATTTTTT